CGAAGCATTGAACCACTGATCGAAGTCACAGGGGAAGTGGAGACTCGTATTTTGGGAATACCGAAGCAGGCTAAAGTTGCTGATGCAGCTAATGAGAATGAATGGAGGATTAGACGATGTCGTGGTCAATACTTGCACGAGATGCTGCGACAAATAAAAGGATCCCCGATACCAATGGCTGATGCAGGGTGCGATCGGGTTTTATGGAAATAGATGCAGAATACATATGAGCAAACCTTCTCATCAAAGAGGACGTGGGAGCAAATCAGATTAGCTCGTCAAGAGGTAACATGGCACAACTTGGTTTGGTTTCCCCAAACTGTTCCTCGGCAAGCATTCATTACTTGCCTAGCCTTTAGAAAAAGATTATCAACGGGAGATCGGACCAGTGCATGGGGAGATCATCAAAATTGTCTATTCTGTGGAGAGCCGAACGAAACGCAAGATCATCTATTCTTTGCTTGCCCTTATTCCTATTCGGTTTGGACCTTGTTTTTGTCACATATCGCGGGTTCAAGACTTAATCCGGATTGGTCTACTACAGTCAATCGCTTGAAAAGGAATAGACTCTCTTCGGTTGACTCCCAGCTGCTTCTGATGGCGTTTCAAACAACAATTTATTGGATTTGGAGAGAAAGAAATGGTCGTCGTCACCAACGATCTATCACCACTCCTCCATCTCTTGCTCGAATTATCCACAAAGAGATCCTCAACCGGTTACTCTCTCTACGTCGAAATCCGGCGATCGATGAGGAAGATGAAGCTGTTGCAAGATGGTTTCAATCATCACCATAAGGTGGTCGACCAATAATCTTTTTGTTTCAAGCGATTTGCTCTGTTTTTGATCAAATGTATCAGCTTCTTTTGGACTATTTTGGATCCAAAAGATTGTAAACTTTTCTTTTTTGTTTTGTTGATAAATAAATTTAACATTTCAAAAAAAAAAAAAAAGTTTAGAGTGGTAAACTTGTAAATCCCGTATACAAAACTACAACGGTCTAAAATTAAACTAAATGATATAATTGTATTTTTCCTGATTTAAAACCATATCTTTACATGACCCGCAGATCGCTCAGAAAGTGTTATTAGATGCTCTAAACACCATGTGCATGCTTCAACATTTCCGTGTCAATAGCTTACACAAAATCGTTTATTTTATTTTATATAATTTACAATCTATCTAAATTTACCATCTAATAATTATACTATGTATTATATTTTGTGTGTGATAAATGAGAGTGGTGTTTACACGTACAAGTGGATCCAAATATCTAACTCCACAGATATTCTAAATCTAACATTTGTGTAAATATATACTATTATAAACTTCGAATCATTTAATTTCATTCACTTAATATTAGACAGAAGGGGAACCAATCTTCCTTATCCCAATACAAGATTCTCTGTTTCTTTTCATAATTAAATATAGCGGCAAAACAGAGAATAAATTGAAGGTCCAAAATATCTAGAGTTAAAATTTGAAGATATATACTACTATGTTCTACGTGATTTGAGTAGCGTATATGACGTTTTTTTTTTAATAATTTTCGTAAATCCTAGACTTATGGAGGAAGCCAGATTAATCTCCATAGATAGACCTTTTCTCTGGATATATGCGGACCGGAAGCAAAGACTCATTTCCGTGTGGATATCCAAAGCAAAGGTTCATATTCGTGTGGGTGTCCAAAACAATATGATTTTAGTTTCGCATAACAAGTGAATCAAATTTGAAGCGTGTCGGCACCACAAGCCCGTTTCCGTACCACTTGACCACAAGGCTCAAGACAGCTTATATGACGTTTTTAATGCAATTATGTTTATATGTGATCTCGATGATACATTTTTCAAGATAATTCTATAAATTTTGTATAATTCATCAAAACTTAGAATACCAAATATACAACTGGATCGAAATCTTATACCCTCGATTTTCTAATCGAGCAACTGAGATCATTTTAAGAAGAGACTCAATGAATCTAAAAGAAATGAGTTTAAGCCATATCCTAAATTCTTACCATGGCGCTTGACCACTTAGACAATCTCCATTGGATAGTTTTTTACGAGAATCTCTCATCTAAAAATAAATATTAAAATAATAAATAATGATATTAAATTACAAGAATTTCTAAAAAAATTTGAGAAAGTATCTCATTTGAGAGATTTAAGAGACTTTCTAGACCATTTTGAAAGATTCTTATAATTAAATATAGTTATTTGTTGCTTTATTATTATTTTTATGAGTGAGAGACTTTTGTGAAAGACCCTCTAATGGAGTTATTTCTTTGCTAAAAATTGGGGTTATTGGAATACCAAACAAACAAAAAAACTAAATAACTAGCCAAAGGCCTTAAATCTAATGGCCATCAACTTGTCACATAAACCATTTTTGGTTAGTTATAGTTTTTAACTTTCCAAATTAATATTATAAAAAAAAAACTATCCAAACTAATATGATTACTATTCGTCCAATCACAAAAATACCGAAAACACGTCTTGGTTTTATAGTTTGCCTAAGAGGAGTAATATTCAAATGTGAAACGATCCTCTATGGCTATGATTCAATGTTTGAACACGTATCCCATGATTCCACAATTAAATATACTAAGAACTATATACAATCAAATTAATTAATATCGATTGACAAAAAAAAACATTAATTAATATCGTCTCATAGTTCAGCTTCACTTCCTCCTCCATAAATACGCTATACCACCACACACACTTCTCTCTCTACATCTCTAATCTTTTATTCTCTTTCTTCTCGCCGGAAAATAAATCAAAATGATCACCGGCAAAGACATGTACGACGTACTAGCGGCGATGGTGCCGCTATACGTAGCTATGATACTAGCTTACGGTTCGGTAAGGTGGTGGGGAATATTCACACCGGACCAATGTTCCGGTATAAACCGGTTTGTTGCGGTTTTCGCGGTTCCTCTTCTCTCTTTCCATTTCATCTCCTCCAATGATCCTTATGCCATGAATTACCATTTCCTCGCCGCCGATTCTCTTCAGAAAGTCGTTATCCTCGCCGCACTCTTTCTTTGGCAGGCGCGTTACTTATAATAATCTCTCTCTATACATGCAGCATATATGATATATTCATATCTTATGATTACTTTATAAGCACATAATCTATTAACCTTTATTTTTTGTGCTAATTAAGTGATGGTAGTCTAGTATATGATGGTTGAAACTAGATGTCGGTTTTTACTAGACGTATTATTCAGTTATAAAAACTGCATGTAATACATATACTAGACGTGGACCAACATAGTTTACTAGCTAGCTCATCTACCATTTGAACTAAACCGTTTTTGGGTTGGTCAAAGTGATTTTGAGAATTAATATTTGGTTTCTCTTTCTAGCTTATAGTTTTTCTATATTCCACATTTTCAGGTTTGTATTAAAATATATTGATGTATTCTGTGATACTATTTCAGGCATTTAGCCGCAGAGGAAGCCTAGAATGGATGATAACACTCTTCTCGTTATCTACACTTCCGAACACATTGGTGATGGGGATCCCGTTGCTCCGGGCTATGTACGGCGACTTTTCCGGTAACCTAATGGTGCAGATCGTGGTGCTTCAGAGCATCATATGGTATACATTAATGCTCTTCTTGTTTGAGTTCCGTGGCGCTAAGCTTCTCATCTCCGAGCAGTTCCCGGAGACTGCCGGTTCAATCACTTCTTTCCGAGTTGATTCTGATGTCATCTCTCTCAATGGCCGTGAGCCCCTCCAGGTTTGAATATCTACACTTTTAGCATGTTGGTTTAGATTCACCGACCGGGTTAACTCCACTAAACAAGGAATTGTTTTAAACAATTTATAAATATGTTATATATGTCAAATTATCAGAAAAGTTTGAGTTGAGTTTAAGTTCCTTTTTAAGAAGTCAAAGCGGATTATTTGGGCATCTTCAATCCATATATACACATTATATCAAATTATTATAATAGTATTTTTAAATCAACCGACCGGTTTCCTCAACTAAACTAGAAAATTAGAAATGGATTAAATAAGTCAAATATTATATTTTTTTTTGGTTATCTATGTCAAATATTATGAGAACTTTGA